GCAAAAATTTAGATAAGATTTTATTATTATAAATTAAAATGTATATATACATAAAATGTATAGGTACTATATAGATACGAAAGAGAGAAATAAGATTTTAAAATCGCACATATGTACATATTTTTTTTTTCAAAAGTAACAATTTGCTGCTGCAGATTCAGAAAGATAAATGAGGTGTTAGTAAATTAAGAAAATTTTGATGTGCTGAAAATACTTTATGTGTACTTAGTGTAATTTTAGGAAATTAGTGCATAAATTTGTTGAAAACTCGGAAATTTGTAATTTGAAGCGTTTGCTATTCTCTTTAAATATTGTATGCGAAGCGGGTCGCATACGGTCTCAAAGTGACTTTAAATATTGTTAATAAGAATCAATGAACAGTTTGTGGAAAATTATAAATAATATCTAAATAATATTTAAAATTTGAGTGAAAATTATAAAAGAAGTCTTTACTCTCTCATGTGTCAAAAATTGGTATTACTCTCTCTCTCTCTCTCTTTCTCATGTCATTTTTTAAACCTTGATTTTTTCAAGCTATAGTTTTGTCGTTTTCTCTACGATTATGATTAAAAGTTCATATAATCAAGAATTTGGATATCGGCAATTTCTGATTCAAATTTTTAGTTTTGATTCGAATAAAATGGAAAGGAACTTGATGTGATATATGTAAAGAAAACTATACTGAACTCGAACTTGAAATATCATTTACAGTCACCGAATCCGGCTAAGACCAATTTTGCTCATAATTGTCGAAACTCTTTATCCTTTTGAAATTTTCAATATTAGACTTTTTTTTTTTCCTTCTTCACTCCTAGGAGGAGTATAGGGCTAGTGCTTGATATCTATCATGCCATAGTTTCTATAGTCATGAGAGTTAGCTAGGTAGGTGACTAGCCTACCGTAGTTTTTTTTTATTTATATTAAATATTTCAGTTTATTAATATTTACTGTTTATTTTTTCTTAGTCTTTAGTATCGAATATTATGAATATTTGAAAATTACTTGTATAATATTTATTATAGTATTGCATATTAAGTTATATAATATTGAATATAATTTTTATAGTGACCTGACCTGGGTTTGAACCCGAGACCCTTCGGTTAACGGGCCGGTGCCATAACCACTGCACCAATGGTCAGATCAATATTAGACTAGAAGAATTAAATTTTTCTCAGAATTAAATCGGTTTATACTTTTTCATACAATTAAGGTGGAAAATTTTTTTATCATCTTGTTAGCAGCATTACTTTAGGAAGTAAGAGTGAAAGTGTTATTTTTATACCCAAAATAATATTCACAATCCAATACTAAACTTAACAGGGTAAAGCAAGAGATCAAATGATTTAATTAATCGATAAACAGTTTTTTTTTTTAATCTGTTAATAAATTAATTATTCGTGTCAATTAAATTATTTGAATTTTTATAGAAAAAACCTTTTTCTGTTGCCCTCTTTTGTCAAAAGCCTAACTAATGAAGGATACAAAAAAAAAAACAAGAACGCAATTGCTTTGTTTTACCATGAAATACAATTGTTTACAAAAAAAAAGAACAATCCTTTTGTTCCTTTATTTTTTGTTCTTGCATTCTATTTATTTTGCTATCTTAGAATTTAAAATATCCTTTGTCGCATAATGATCAAGGTTCGTTATTGAGTACTTAAGTTTGCCTTTTATAATGTAACATTTATGTTTTTAATTTTATACTTAAACAAAAAGAAAAACTTTAAATAACTTATTTATTATAACTATTTTTAAATTTTATGTAAAATAATATTCTAGGGTACAAATAAAAAAGAGAATTTCAATGTCAAAATATACGATGTGCATATTGCAGACACTATAAAAAAACAAAGATTATGTACCATAAGTGGTTGATGAAAAAAAGTGAAAAACAAAATAAGGAAAAGAGAAAAACGAAAATATATATATGAAAAAAATAGAGGTAAAATATTTAATTAAATTAGTTCAACTATAGGATACTTTTAAAAACTTTAAAATTCAAAAATTAGTTCTAAATTAGAAGGATTACATTGTTTTGATAGCAATTATTTTACAAAATTTCTTGGAGAGTCAAAGTATTCACAAGTTTCTTTGCGAAATTTTTCTTTGCGTTTTTATATATCAAGCATGCATTCCTTAGATCCAGCATTAAGCATATCGCCAACAGGCGCAAATAAAAACATCATTTAGTCGAAACTAGGCAACTATCAGTTACCAAGCAACAGTGTCATCATTCATAAGAAAGGGAGGGCAAAATAGGGAAATATGTAGGTAAAAAGAGGGAAGAGAAAAAGGACAAGTAACATAAAATGATGAGCACAACTTAAAAATAATAATAACAACAAAAGACATAAAGACTAACAACAAACCGACAACTAGACAGGCACAAAAGAGAAAAACAAAATAGATAATATAAATAAATAAAGACGAGATAAAAAGACAAGAACAAGAAAAAAGGAAAATATTACTACAAATTTAAATTACACAAAAGTCTAGATCTAAGCGTACAACTACTAATACTAGGATCAAATACCAAGGAATCAGAATTGACAGAGCGCTACATTCTAGTGAGCGGGTCATTCCTACCGTAATCATTAGAGTGTTAGCGAACATTGTACAACTCAACAGACCAAAGATTCCTTCCGCAGATAAATAGAAACAGATTCAATACGAGAAATATCCACAACACGAAAGGGCGCACAAACCTGACAAGCATACTCAAGAATCGATCTAACAAAGGACACATACAAATGCTTCGCAACATACGGACCAATAAACTCCCTAGCCCACCTCATTACGAAACCCAGCTTCGAATTAACCATACCAAGGATCATATTCAAATGACCACCAAAATCCAACCTGTGATCAAGCAGAACCCCATGATCACAAAAAGTGCTCATCCTTCCCAATATCACCCCGTTAAAGCAATAATCGTGCCGGACAACAGACAACTCCCTCCTCCGCGAATGAACTCATGACCCGACACTTACGAACGTTAAGCTCCAAGCCATTTACCCGACACCAATCCCAATCCCTCTATCTAGTCAAATCCCTCTGCAATTCCAAACAATCAAAACTATAAGGCGCGGAACCCACAACAGAACCTAAAGTGTAATTGGTCGCGCACAGTAGACGTCAAACAGAGCAGAACGGAAAGATTCAAAATTTCTAACAATTTTTTCAAAAATTTTTAATTTTATAACTTAAATTTTGATCAAATATGTATATAGAAAACTGTAATTGACAGTTACATCTTAATTGTCGCAATGGTGACTGCCTTGTAAATTCATCTATTAAAAATTAGTTTTAATAGACGCATTTTTTAAAACTCAACTTTATATACACTTACGTGTTACGGTCTTATAATATTACAGCGCTATGTTTTAATGAATTCGAATTCTACAAGCTGGTTTATGTAAAGTACGCTTGAAGGATTGTGTTCAAAATTGTCATGAAATTAATAGTGACATAAAAATCAGTCTTACTGATTTTAATATTTATATAAAATGCAGAACAACTCGTGAATTTATTTATCAACTTTCGCATATATTGAAGAATATATTCTTATACTCAGAATGTTATAAATGAATTAATAAATTTGTTGTTACCACATCAGTTACTTTCGTTCATATTTTTAGACAGGATAAGGAGTAAGTATTTCTTTTTTTTTTTTTATAACTGAATAACTATTAATTTATACAAAAAGCCCTACAATTTGGGTACAGTTTAGAATGTGTAAATGTAAAATATATTATAATTTTCATTTTGGTTTGTTTTTGTTTTTCGATATACCGAAATAAATTCAAATAATTTATTCAATTTTACTCCTTATGTTGATAAGGGATCTTCACAATGTACACAAAAGGATATTATTGGGAAAAATTTAGGTTATTAGGTTTTATCGTAATAATTTTTAATATATTTATATTGTATTCATCTTTTAATATCTTTTTTCTTTTTTTTCTTCTTTATTAAATTATGTACTTCCTTTATTTAAATCCGTTCTATAGTTACATACCACCTGAGACTGTCAAATATTTGCCGGTCCTTGAAATTAAATATTGTTTATAATATTTACACAGTTTTTGGGAAAGTGAAAAGTTTTACTTTGTTTTGTATACTGAAAAGAGAAAAAAAGGTTTGTTTTATATAATATTTTTTTTCTTGCTTACAAATACACTGAAGCCTCTGTTACGTATATTAACATAGTAAATTTTACTATATTATGTGAGTCATCATTGCAAATTTTTACATGCGTTTTTACATTTAAAAATTTCAAAATGGAATGGTGTGTTGGCAACACTTTATTTGATTCTTGAATGAAATTGAAGAATCTAACTTGTTTAACATAGTTTAACTCAGGAAGTCTTAAGCACGATTGTTGTTGGAGATATTAAAGGTCAAAAAGCCGAGATTATTATTCATACAACCAAATAGAAAAGGTTTAGAAGCTTGATTTTGCACACAACATGAATTTTTTTTGTTTTCATAGGAAGAATACGCCTGGCATTTTTTTGATATTCTAATTCTTTCTCAAAATTTTGCTTCAGATATTCGATCGCCAAATACACATGGATTTTGAAAAAAATATTTGTATTATTTCTATTTTGAACTTTTTTCTAAAAAATTTTACTGTTTTTTTTTGAAAACATTTTTTGTATATATATAAGTAATATGATTTGCTTTTTTCCTTAATTGCAAATCAAAGAATTTTTAAGAATTAAGTTTTTTTTTTTATATTATATAAGTATATGTATGTAAATATATTTTGTACGTTTTCAAACGTTTTGCACATAAACGTTAATTAGTTATGTTATTTTTTCTAAAGTAACTTCATGTCGCTTAGTTTCAGTGTGTCGTTCCGGGAATGTGATTGTTAATGTGATGCTATAAGAAAAGAAATTAAAAAAAAAAATTGAATTGATAATGGAATCTGGAGATGAAACCGCTATAAAATTAATACGAAGTATTAAAAAACGACCAGAACTATGGAATAGATCATCTACTGAATATAAAAATAGGAAAAAAGCAAAAACAGACGGCTGGCTAGATGTAGCGGATGAGCTACATACAACCGGTGAGATTTATTTTATTTCTGTTTGTTATTTTTTTTTATTTTTCTTTTCTAGTTATTTTTTCTTTTTGCAACCAAATGTAAAATTGAAAACATGAATTTTACAGTTTCATGCTAAAATAAGGATTCATATTGTATTTATAATGAAAATATTTTTTAAGTTAAATGTTCCCAACAGAATACATTGATTAAAAAATTAAAATAATTTTATTATTAAAAATACAGATTGGTTGCAATTGACAAAATTAAAAATATTTAATTTAGCTAATCTTTTATTTACGGTAGACTAGCCACCTACCTAGCTAACTCTCTATGACTATAGAAACTAGAGCATCATAGATATCATGCAGTAGCCCTATACTCCTCCTAGGAGTGAAGAAGAAAAAAAAAAAAAATTTAGCTAATCTTTCACTTTTCTTTTACATAAAATTAGTGTTTTAAGAACACATTCACTTTCTTACCGCCTGCGATAATTTTGCAGTGTTGCGGTAACACTTTTTCTAATATGATAATTAAAACTAGCATTAATCTAAATCTAGAAAATAAATCAATTTTATATGGTATTCAGCTCACATTTTATGAGAATAATTTGCTTAAAATTTAAAAGTTATTTTTTTCAATATTAATAACAAATTAAAAGCTAATTAGCTAAATTATGTCTTTTGTTCTAATTATATTTATTATAAATCATTTGCATTAGCATGATCGAAATTACAAAAAAAAAACTCTGACAACTTTTAATTTTAAGTTAATCATTTAATTTTTTTGTTTTTCATTCGTTTCTTGTTCTTTTTTTTTCTTTTGTCCAATTTTAGTTACATACTGTCAAAATAAATGGAGAAGAATACGTACAAATTTTATAAAATATGTTAAATTGAAAACTCCAGAGCGTTTTAATTTATATGAAGAAATAAAATTTATTTTCCCTCATTTAAATGTTGTTAAAAAAGGGAATTTAGTGCCAGTTATCGAAATTGAAGATTCCGATTATAGTGATGACGATGAAAACCCACACGAAGAAGAAAGTAATGAAAATTTACAAACATCATACACCAATTCAGCATATGTAAAACAAGAAGAAGAAGAAATAGAACTTGAACCTGATATGCCTCAATATGAGGAACCTGATACAATTGAAGAACATCAAAATAAAATTGAAGAACATTATGTACAAAAGAGAAGTAACGCAAGAGATAGTAATGAAGAGCAATCAAGAAAAAGAAGACGAAGTTCTACTGTTAATCCTGATCAAGCAACATCATCAGCACAACAAGAAGAAGAAAATCCAATGATGTTATTTTTTAAATCTATTACACCAGATTTAATGCAATTATCAACTAGAAAACAACGTTTATTTAAAAGAGGTTGTCTAGATTTAATTGAAACATTATATAGAGATGAGCCAGATAGTTATTAAAAGATATAAAACAAAAATTAAAATTATATAACTGTGAATGTTAAGAATTTTTTTGTTAAATTAGGTTTTTTTTTTTATTGTAAAACCAACATGTCTAACAAATTTGTTATAAAATTCAAATATGCTTTTTGTTTTTTTTTACAAATTAACTATTTTATGTATGAAATGTAAACATTTTAAGTTTTATATGTAATTTGATTAATAATTTTTAAAAATACAAAAATTTAACTTTATTTTCATTTTTGAAATCAATTAATTTAAAATTATATAATTTTATTTTGATAAATATTCGATAAGCATGGGTGATAAGATAATTGAATACTCAAAAGAGAAATGTATGTAATCACAATTTTTTGTTAATCAAAGAAAGAATCAAAATTTAAAACACCCAAATATTTCTTTTCAGCATCCTAATTATTTCAATAATGACATAAGTTTTTGAAAAAGTTCATTAATAAGTAATTAATTATCAATTAAAATATTTTAAGAAATCTCTTAATTTTTATTATTTAAAATAGTGTAAGAACATTTTCAAATATAAAATACAATATGAAAAAATGTAATTTAAAAATGCAATGTTAATTAATTTTATCTCACTTTTAATTAACTAGTATAAAATGTTGCATGTATAATTTTAGTTTTAAAATTAAATTTATTCAAAACAAATATAGCTATAAAATAAAGTAATGAATTTTCATGTATTCAAATACAAGAATATTTTATGTATTCAAATACAATATTTTGTTATAATTTAAAAACAAAAAATAACTAAAAAAAATATTATTGAATTTTTTTTTAATTGCAAAACAAGTAATCAAATGTTAAACAAATGTTTAGGTTTCAATTTAGGATTCGAAATCTTATGTATTGCGCTCTCTAATTTCTAATAATTCGCTTTATTAAATATTAGTGCGGCATGCTAAATTTTTTCCCAAATATATATATTAACATTTAATAATATTTTGAAATATAATTTCACCGATTCTAATTCATTTATGCAAGTTAATCCAAAAAAAGGCGTGAATTAGAATACCAAAACAATGTATTTCATAATTATTTAAAATTATTTTAACAATTAATTTATTATATTAAGTCATTTGATTTATACTTTTTAAAAATAATAATATAACAAAAAATGAGAAAAATAATTTTTAAATTTTATTTTGAACTACAAATTGGAATTTGTAGTTCCATATTATCATATTACCATACCATATTTTTTTAGTTTACCATATTTTTTATACATAAGTATGTGTTTTAAAATTTATATGATTTGTTTTATTTGAAATTTCATTTTTGGTTTTAGTAATGAGGAAAATACAAATATAAATAAATAGGAACTTTTAATAAAGTATATAAAAATTTAGAATTAAAAACTAGAATTAGCAACTAGTATTTAAATAAAACGTATAACATATTTAAATTTATATTTACCATTACTTGTATGCCATTTATAATAAAACTTTTTTTTAATTTATAGAAGATTACTTTTACAATGTTAATTTAAAAACTTTCAATTTATACAATGAATTATTATCTGTATTATTTTATTATTTATATCACTTGCAAATTAATTAAAATTGTATATATTATCTTCATTTTTAAATCGATTAATAATAAATAATAATTGATTTTATAAAAATTCAATAGAAATTTCTGAATTCAATAGAATATGTTTCTTTTTTCCCGCAAATTTTTAGCCCTTCAAGTTTGCAAACGTCATTTCCCTTTAACAATCTATCGAAATTTTATACGAGCAAGAACCTTACATTAATTATCCACTTAATCAAAAGTGCTCTATTATCCCTTAAGGTAAACTAATTGAAATAGTTTTTCTAAAAGTTCATAAATTAGATTTGATAGAATATTTGATATTCGTAAATTTCAAATCCACAGAAAAAAAATAATGAAATAAATGTAATTTAAAATAAATATTGTATTATTGAACTGAATAAATTAAAAATTTATATGTATTTCTTATTATAATGTTTTATTTAAATTTAAAATTCATAAAACCCATTAATCTTTCAAAAATTTAAGTAATGTAAAGTACAAAATTGATAAATGTTGTTGTAAATTTAAAATATTAACATTAATGCTGCAAGTATGCTGTATTTAAATCTATATTAATTTTATAAAGATTTTTTAAAATTTTAATGTACAGTAGCTTTGATTATTTTAATAAATTGAAATTTGTATTTTAGTTTTGTTAATTTATAAAAGAAATGGATAGTATTTTTGATTAATTTAAAATTTGTTTTTTCAAAATTTCTAACAAATACAGATTTTCTCAACTTTTTCTTTTCATATATACTAATTGTATTATTCTTTAAAATACTAATATACAGTATTTTAAAGAATAATACAAATATTCAACAACTTCAGTATCACAGGGTCCTGTTTATGTTTTTTACCAAGTTTTTATATTTAAAAATTAGAAATTTTTGTTGTTGTTTTGAAATTTAATAAATTTTGTTGCATTAATATTCAAAATATATTTTTAAAATTAATAAATAAAATGGATTTGTGAGATTTTAAAATAAATAATATATGAAATATATATGTACATATTGTTTACTACCCCAATTTTTGGAGAAAAATCATAATTGTTTTATCAAAATAAAGAGCTAGTTTTCAAAATTTAAACATTTTATAGTGTTTTTAAGCATATGTAAATAAAGTAATAATCAATTTATAATAAAAATTCAATATATTGATTTTGTAATTAATTATTTTTAAAATTTATACGTTTCATCTGATCATTGGATTAATATAAATGTATGAATATTATTTAAGAATATTTAAAAAAAAAAAGTATGAAGAAAAAAAAATGTATACAAAATCTGGCGATTACTTTCAATTGTTTTGAATTTTATACTTAGTTGCAAATTATTGTTATGTTTTGCATTATTGCATGTTAGTATATTCAGAATATCATTGACAATTGAAAATTTTATTTATTTTTTCAGTTGAATTATCTTAGTTTCATTAATATAATAAGAATTAATGTAAATTATTCATATATTATACTACATTAGAATGTGCTATAATTATTTGACAAAACTGAATATAGTTAATTTTCTTTGTTTCCGATAATGATGTCACAATAATTTGTTTTTCATCTAAATACAGATCTAACATAATTTTTAATTTATTCAGAAATTAATAAGTCAGAATCATTCTAAATTTACATTTAGTTATCTTATATCGTCCATCACAATACATTGTATGTTAAATTTTTTTCCTAAATATATATGTGTACACATGTATTTACATATATTGAGTAATAGAATTGTCAAGATGAAATTAAAAGAAAGCAAGGTAAAAAAAAATTTAAAATATAAAAAACTAAAGTAAAAAAGAAAAATAAGAAATGCCTTTTTTTACCTTTTCAAATTATGCTTTTCCTTTTTTTACACCATTATTTCATTCTGTTTGCATTATAAGAATTCAAAAGTAAGGAAATTATTTTTTTATGAGAAAAAAAAAAACGTTTTCTTTTCGTTCTGTACGCTTTTATGTATGTATGTAAATTTTTTATTTAAATATTCGTAAGCAATAACAATGGAAGGATATTATTAAAAAT